CCTTATTTCGTGGGAACCATTTTAGTGATATAATGACCTTTATTATGATATAGGAACTGTTATAAAAAATACTCACATTTTCACAATTCTTCTAAGCCCCCCTCAGCTCCCCTAACCCACATTGATTAAGCCAATAAAAAGTTAGGGAAGGAGGAGCTCGTTCTTTTAATTGATATACTAATTGAATAGCTTAAGAATAGATTAATATAAATACGACACTTTTACCTTACATAGTGACCTTTTTATTTAAATAGAGACAGATTATTATAGACGAAATCTTCTTAATCACATAGTAACACTCTTGCATCTCATAGTAATTGGCAACTTTTAACTCATATAATGCCATTTTACTTACATAGTGAACTATAAAAAGTCATATAATATCCTTTTTCAAGTTTTTTTTTTTTCTCTTTTTAAGAGATAAAAAAAAGTTAAGGCATTTTTAGGTACATATTTATTATAGGTCCTTGAAAACTTGTCACATATGTGTACAAAATAGAATAATGAATATGGTGATAATTTTGCATTATAACTTAATTATGTATAACACATTGAACTAATAACATTTTAAATACATAGTGACTTTATAGTATAGAAACCTTTTAAATAACATAGATACCTTTTTAAATACATAGTGACCTTATAATATAGAAACCTTTTAAATAACATAGATACCTTTTTAAATAATATAGATACCATTTTTTGTAACATAGGCACCAAATTTATAACTAATATATATTTCACTAAACTTCTTGAATGTTAATTAAAGATTACATATCAAAAAAAACTACCAATACCACCAATTCAAAACCTTCGTATGAACTGGAATCATATCATATTGTTCTACATTAACACTTATACAAATTCGTTTGACTATCCATTAGTTGATGCAAACTAGATCATTACATTAGATTTCCTACTTCTGTGCAAAAAACTTCTGAGCAAAAAACTTCATCCACATATTTGTTAGTCTACCTATTCTTTATTTTCCTTTTTACCTTGCTTTGTTTTCTTCTTCCTCCCATCAAAAACATCTTTTGCAACTTGACTCCTTATTGATCTGAATTCAGATAGCTTTTTAAGAACTTCATCTATGACAGTGTTCATATCAGACAATACCAGAGTAACAACAATCTGAGCTCTCAATACCCGTCTAGTTGAAACCAAATATATTAATTTAAAACAAAAATTAGAATAAAAAAAGCTAGTTAAATTCCATGGAGGAAATAATTAATATAATAAAAATTGAAAGCCTAATAAAAAAATGAGAATAATAACCATTCTCAAAACATCGCAATTGAAGACATCAGCTCCATCAAAGTAAAGCATGCTGACCATAGTATAAATGCCAATATCATTATTTTGTTTTCCAGACTTCCAATTTAGAGAAGGTGACTCCAAAGTGTAATCAACCATGCTCTTCACTGAGTTATTACTTTGAGGAAGGCGTTGATCAAGAAAAGTACTCATCATATCACTCTAGGCAAAATATAATAATACTTTAGGTTCCATACAGCATATCCTAAATAGAAAAATACAAATAAAATCCAAAACATCATATTTTTACCAAAACATCAAAGAACTTCTCAACCTCACTCATGTACTTCGTATCATAACTCATATTATCAATGAACTGAAGCTTTTCTTCCTTCAAATTCACAACAATTAGGAAGAAGTGCTCACTCAAGAGTATAGGAACAAAAATCTGCAATAAATAAACAACTATTAAGCTTGAAAAACTTAATATAAAGTACTTAATTGAAAAATGATTGTCAACATTTGCAATGTATTACCAACTCAACATTTGCAAGATCAAAATCATTGCAAGGTCTGAATAACCATCTTGACCAAATGTCAAATAGCTTGTAGAGTTATTATTTTTAAATGTGATTATTTGAATTACATAGTGACTGTTTTCATTACACAGTAAAATTAATTATGAATCTTGTATAATGAACAGCTACCTTTATAATGATATAGTAACCAAATAGCCGAAAGATACTTACACTTTGAGTGACACCAAAATAAAGTTTTTGAGGTCCATGTGCACTACTCTTCTGGTTTTCATTAAGCAACAAAGGCCAACAATCAATAATACCAGAAGATATAACAATAGTCAGTTCACCTAATGAAAGGAATTCATTCCTTGTAATCTCAAATGGTTTGCCAAAAGATACCAACACCTCATTGTACAAGGAAATAAAAACACACATGTTTATTAGCATAGTCACTTGTTATTAAAATTTTAAAATTAAATAACAAAAAGAACCATGACATGACTTACTTGAGATTGAAACCATGGTAATCACTAATGCAGTAGTCAACAAGTTCCTGGACAACTACATCCAAAATCTTCATATCCTTATTACTTGACTTCATATATGAGTTACATATGTAACTTTATCACCAATGAGACTAACATCCATAGCAAGGGAACATTTAGATTTTCCATTATTCAAAACATGCTCAAAACCTATCCTTGGAACTTCACCAACTACAACATTAATCTCTTTTGCAGGTGCACCATTATCATCAATATCAATACCAACATCATCCAAACCATTAGGCACTTTTCTTACCCAACTTACAATAGACACAATCTCATCAACAATATCATGAACACGAGGATCCATAAAGAATAAATCGCTTTGGGACATTGGAGGTATCGAATTGGAAGCATCATTAGGTTTACGAGTCTGAAATAAGACTTTCAACTCATCCATATAGAAGTTTGATACCACTTCCAAATCTTTTTTCATGAGCAAAAACTTTTCATAAATTTCCTGTGAAAAAAAAATGTAGCACTTAGATTTAGTAAAATAATTTGTGACATAAAAAAAATTAAAAAAAAATAATAAAAAAAAAACAAAATTAAAGGGCAAAATACTTACATCAATAGCGATTGAACGGATTTCCTCATTATACATTGAATTAGCAGGTAGCTCATATTGAATAACACCCTTAACATTGCTACGAACACCTTCACTAACAACAAATTCTTTTCCAGAAGTTTGATTCACAGGAGCTTCCTTGAATTGATTATTAACAACATGTCCATCCTCAAATTGCAACTTCTCACTCACTATATATGTATCAAACTCAAGAATGCCACACCCAAAACCCTTGGACAACTTTTCGTTTGTAATCCTATCTCTTATATCCACATCAGTCTAATGTTGAATTAAAGGTATTGTAGAATTTAACACAACATTCCTAAACCTCAATCGATGAAAATAGATAATCTCTAACATCAAAACACAACCACAAAACCATTATATATTTCCTTCTTTGTAGCTCTTCACAGCTTCACAAAGTCTATCTAAGACATATTTTGACCAATCATAAGTTCTTATTTGATTAACATCAACCAAACATTTTACAATTTTTTAAATCCACAGTTCTGTTGGACGTAGGTGCTAAAAAACTTGAAAAAGCATGCATGATAAAAAGTTGTCTGAATTCTTCCCCACCATATTAGTAAAGGGATCTTAGATTCAAAAAAACCCAAAGGAATTGGATCATTCTCACCTATAAGACCAAAATGAGACCTCCATTTAACCTTTAAATCATAATCAGGGTTGATGACATTAGCACAACAAGAAATTTCTTCAACTTTCTTAGATGTTTTGCAAGGAAGGCAAAAAGCATCATACACATCTAATTCAGTCACGACAAAATCCTTTTTACTATCAATAGTAAACATGCAACTACCATGATCAAAACAATCTACCAACCATGATAGCATATCAGTTACAGTTTGTTTCACCTTCAAAGATAACAAACCTCCAAAGCCAATTTCTTTCACAGCCTTGATTTGATCATCTGATTTTTTTTAATCATCTCTACTAAATGAAATGGCCTACAACGTGTTTTAAATCCTCGTTGCATCCTGTAATAAGACATACGAAAAGATAAACAATTAGATCATAGAAAGAATCACATTAAGAAAGTAACAGAGATACCTAATAACAGGACAATAAAAAAGAAAAAACAAGGAGGAGAAAATAAGAAACCAAATTATTTATTAATAGAATTAACAAGCGTATAAGGTATAACAAAAGAAAAATGAATGCATGTCACTAGTATTATATTTAAATATACTATATAACAATAATATTAATAAAACATAACATCATATGTTTATAAAGACTATTTTTACGTAGTTGCCTCTTTTTATAGCATAGTGACCTTTTTTTTAAACAAAACTTCAAAAAAAAAACGAAAACAAAAATTCACTTACATATGTACATCACCATCTATGATTGCAGATTCTTGCCTATGAATCACAATGTTCTTATCCTTATTTGCCTTCACTTTCTTCACTTTACGACCTTCATTTTTATCCAACTTTCACTTTTTATTTATTTATTTATTTATTATTTTTTTTTTTTTACAATAGCAAAGGAACAAACAAAACACAAACTAAAGCAGATTAGAACAATTCATCCGGCAAAATCTAGCAATACCATCCACCTTTTGTACCTGGTCCCTCTGGACTTTTAAGATCGTGCATCGTTGGAACATCCCCCCCCCCCCCACTTTCCTGATATCCTTTAGTAGCCATGCAATCAAAATTTCCTTGCTCGGTTGTACCTGTAAGCTGTTCACAAGCCCAATAGAGTCAGATAGAAATAGGATTCCTTGTCTCCCTTTCTCTCTAGCCCACTTCATAGCTTCAAGACAAGCCCAGGCCTCACATTGAATAACTGACGCTGCTGCCCCATGTTTTCCTCCTTTGTCCAAAGCAAAACCATGACTATTAGGCTTGACTGCCCACCCTATCCCTGCTCTTGTTGTCTTCTTGTCCCATGAACCATCTATTTCCAGTATGAAGTCATCAAAACCCTTGTCTTCCTGTCCTAGTTGCACATAATTAAAACCCGGGGGGAGAGTCAGGTGATTTGTTTCACTGGAAACCCCCCCCCCAATTACAACCGTTGTTTGATTTGTAAAGGTTTCATGGTCGTCCATAGCTCGATGAATAACTTCATTCACTAGACTTATGGTCCCATTAGAGTTATTGAAGCATCTAGCGTTCCTAGTTTTCCATAAACCCCATAAGTTGCCACGAACAGCGCACAACGGGTGCTGTTCTTACCATCCTTGCTATTAAACAGCAGGATAAAATGTTGGGCCCAACTTTTCAACGAGTTGAATCCAGGAGAATCAGGACAAATAGTTAGGGAGCTGCTTTCCCAAACTTCCTTTGCCAGAATACAGAACCTGAAAATATGTTGACTATCTTCTAAGCGTACCTCACAATGATCACAGACTTCATCTACTCGTATTCCCCTCTTTGCCAGGTTAACCTTGACTGCAATACCGTCATGAAACAGTTTCCGTAGGAAAACCTTCCATTTAGGCTGGATGCCCAGCCTCCAAATCACCTTTACAAACTCTTGATCCCTTGCTACAAACTTTGAACTATCTAGACCCTCATCCTTAGATAAGTAATAGTATCCAGTTTTAACGGTATATCTACCCGATGGATGATATTTCCAGTAGATAAAATCGCCCTCCTCAGTTGACTGAGGAAGTTCCATTGACAGGATCGACTTTGCACTCTCCAAGTCAAAGCATTCCCTTACCTTTCCAGCATTCCAAGTTCTTTCCTCTTTGTTAATGAAATCCTTCACTTTCCAATTCATAGCGGCTCCCAGAGTTTGTCCTGATTTAAATGTTGGAATGGAACCATTCACCCAAGGCATACTAATGGCCTTTATATTATTTCCATTTCCCACTTTCCAAGCAAAACCATTCTCAAAGGATTGTGATGCTTGTCTCAGGCTTGACCTTCCCATAGATGGAGTTCCTTTTCTCAAAAATAGCCTATTCCTACAACATATTCCACATGGTTGTAGGCCCTTATAAACTCTAAAAACTAGTGGTTGAGGGTTGAGGTGCATTCTTGTTGCTTGTTTAAAAAGTAAAGCATCATTGAGGTATGAGCAACCTCGAATCCCCAGGCCTCCCATGCTCTTAGAAAGTTGGGTTATGCCTCTACTTACCCAATGTAATCCTTTCCCCCCCTTACTTGCCCACCAGAAACAGGTAATCAGGCCATCAATCTTGCTCACAATACTTTAAGGGAGTTTAAGACATTTCATGACATGAGTAGACATACTTACCAGCACTGTGTTGATGAGAATCAGCTTTTCCGGTTGAGAAAGTTTAAGGGAGGCCCATGTCATAACTTTTTTCGAGACTTTATCCACTAAGAAGTTGAAATACTTGCTCTTCTTCCCCTGAATGTCAATCGGAGCCCCTAGATGAGATCCCATGTTGCTAGTTTCCTGCATTGCTAGAATTTGTTTCACTGTCAACTTCATATTACTATCAACCTCCGGAGAGAATTTGACAACAGATTTTTCAAGATTCAGTTGTTGGCCCGAGGCTTTTCCAAACCTATGTAGAATATCCGAGATACACTCACAAGAATCCTTGTTTGCCTTGAAGAACAACATAGCATCGTCTGCAAAGAATAGATGAGAGATTGATGGTGACCTCCTCGAAACCCTTAACCCTTGTATTTGTTTGATGTCCTCTGCCAAGATTAACATTTTTGACAGAATGTCCATACATATGATAAATAAATAAGGGGAAAGAGGATCCCCTTGTCTGAGTCCACACTTTGGGGCAAAATGATCAGATGCTTTCCTGTTTATAATTGCTTTAAAAATAACCATTGAGATCCACTGAGAGACCATCCTTATCCAGTGATTGGAGAAACCTTGAACCTTTAAAACTTTCAGAAGGAAGAGCCAGTCCACCCTATCGTATGCCTTGGACATATCAATTTTGATTGCTGTAAAACTAGACCCCTTCCTTGAATTTATAAGATGCATCAGTTCATGGCTCAAGAGGATGTTGTCCTCCATATACCTTCCCGGGATGAAAGCATGCTGATTTTCCGTGATTAGTCTTGCAAGGACATACTTTAGTCTATTCACCAAGCATTTTGAAATGCATTTGTACACCGTGTTGCAAAGACTAATAGGTCTGAAATGGCTAGCCAGTTCCGGAACCTTCACCTTTGGTATTAGGACTAGGAGGGACTGGTTCCATTCCTTTAGCATGTTTCCAGTCCTTAGAAATTGCCTGACACTTTCAGTAACCAAATTCCCTACTTTCTCCCAATATTTCTTGAAAAACCCAACTGTAAAACCATCCGGCCCTGGGGACTTAGACCCATTCATGTTGAACATCGCTTGTCTGATTTCCTCATTCAAGAAATCCCTATCCAGCCAAGATCTATCTTCAGTCGAGAGTTTAGGTATATCTAGTTGCCTAAGTAAAAGATCTATATCTTCCCCATGACTCTCTGAAATTATTGGGTTGTAGATCCCCTTGATTGAGTTTAAGATTACCTCTTCGACCCCTCGATGCCCCTCTACCCATGTTTCATCATTCTGAAGAGTTAAAATTTCATTTTGTAACTTCCTTTGTTTCACTTTCCTGTACATTGTAGGCGTAGGGCAGTCCCCACACCTAATCCACTTTGCCTTCATCCGTTGATGCCAGTAACTGAATTCCAACTGGTTGGTTGGAATAAGACTATTGATGTGATGGATATACCCTTCCCCTTCCTGAATCGTACTGATCCATTCCCGAGTTCCGTAGGTCTTTAGACAGTTTTCTCCAATTTATCCCCCACACCTTCTTGTTCTCCAAACACCAAGCTTGCAGCCTGGACCTGACCCTCTCAAGTTTCCTTGCCAGTTGGAACATGGAGGATCCCAAGACTTCCTCTTCCCATGTAGTTCCCACTATATCATTGACTTCTTGGAAAACAAAACACCAATGTTCTATCTGATATGGCCTATTAGAAGTTGTGGACATAGGCCTATCCATATAAAAAATTGATGCATGGTCAGAGTACAGAATTGGCTCATGTATAATCCTCCCATCCGGAGAGTGTTCGAACCATTCCTCTCTGATATATGCCCGATCCAGCCTTTCTAGAATCAGATATCCCCCCTCTCTTTTGTTGCTCCACGTGAACCTTGGACCCGAGAAGGGGACTTCTGACACATTGCTACTGAATCTCCAATCTAGGAAAGCTTCAATTCCTCTTATTCGACTTGACCCTCCTAGTTTATCACTCCCACTCTCCACTTGATTAAAATCTCCAATTACCAACACATTCTTAAATTCATCTAAAAACCATTATAATTGCTCCCATACTATCTTTCTATTTTCTACTTGAGGTTCGCCATAAAAAAACAAAATGTACTTTATACTACCATTTGATTCATGAGTCTTACATAGGATCATATTTTTTGTGGAGTACAGACAATCAACTACAACATTTGACCAACATAAAACTAAAAGACCCCCTCTACTACCATCCGAATCCCATCCAAAAGTGGTAGTAGGACCTAGACAACTTAACCTAGAAGCCGCTGAAACATAATCCATCTTAGTTTCTGAAACAAATAAAAACATAGGTAACTTAGTACGATAGAGCCACACTAGGTAAGGAACTGCAAGGGTGTGTGGATCATTTAAACCCCTGCAATTCCAGGCCACGATATTCATAAACCCGTCGGGGGCTGAATAGGAGCAGCCACCTCACCCTCCGTAGTAATTCTAATCGAGTCGAAGATAGACACCTGTAGGTCGATGTCCATGTCATCTCTCACCTCCCTATAAACCGAATTCACTTCTTCACTTTTCTGTCTTTTTGGCAACCTAGACAAAGAGGGTTGAACACCTTGGGGTCTCTTGTTCTTGCCCCGCATTCGAAGATCATCGTCTATATCAACCCCGAATTCTTTTGCCATGTCAGGATCGGAGATGGCCTTTGAATCAAACCTACATCTACCATTCTCATCCTTCAACCAGATTGTAAAACCTTCCTTTTCGGACCATCTATGAAGCCTTTTGAGCCTCTTCCTTTCAACCCACTCATAGTCTGTTTCGCTAAATCAGACCGAGTCCCCTTCGTACGAATGAGGGTAGTGCACTACTGCCTCCCTAATTCTTTTTCTGGAATTGGCATTGTCATCATAGTTAAATAATTCCGTAAAATTAAAAGAGCTTAAATGCGATACCGGAGTAGTAGGCGGATCAAATTCTGTTAGAGGCATATTCGGCAATCCTCCTAAGTCACTTGGAGATAACCGAAGAAAGGGTGTCAAAGGAGCCCTTATAGTACGGTGTATCTCCTGTATTTCCGATCTCCTAGCCCTTCAAATACCCAGGGACAATATTGTGCTTGCCTTGATAATTTGCGCATATTCATCATCTACTTGCTGTTCGAAATCCTCCAATCTTCTAGTAGTCATTATTGAAGGACTTTCCAGCCATCCATGTGCCTGATTAGTGACTGGAACTGCCAGATCTAGCCCCGAGTCTCTTCAATTCCTTGTAGAGTTACTTCCTGTCTATCAACCACTGCTGGAGTAGAAGCCCACTCTAATATTCCAAGAGTATGAGATAGAGTTCCAGGCCCTCCCCTTTCACGGTGCTCATGCCTTGTCGAGGAAGGCTCTCCTACTTCAAATATCGAGTCCTTGAAGAGCTGTCTGGCCAGAGGTTGAGGAGTGCGTGCTCCTTGCATTTCCAGATTCCTAACCTCCCCTTGTCTACTCACTTCCTCAAGCTGGATTGACACAGGAGCTTGGGCAGCCTCACATTGTGGCCTCTCGCCTCCCTCCCGCCTAACACACTCATTGTTTTCCCCTTCATTGTTGAAAGCTGCAACATGTTGCATAAATTCTGCATAAGGGTCGCCATTCAGGCCCAAACGCCTTCCTAGCGAAAGAGAAAGATCTGGTCTCAGCTGTTCCACCTCCCGTTCCACCAATTCCGAACCCTCATTCGACCAATCTTCCCTACCCGAGTGAAACTGATCACTCTCATCACTTTCTTGGCTTGAAAAAGAGTCTTCATACGGATGCCCTTCTTCAAACCCTCTATCTTCTCTCGGACCTCTCCCATACATCGGAGAGCCTTCTGGATTTTCATAAGGCCGAAGATCCAAGCCCGTATTACGAAACCTGTACCAATCCGGGAGGCCCCGAATAAGGTTGGAGTAGAAAGGATACTCGGTTGGTCCATATAGCACCCGTAGACCATCTGCTTCCACCTCACTTAGTTTACGCCTTACTCTCCTTCTTGCCACTAACGCATGGAGTGAACACCTTGAAGTAGCATGTCCTGCACAACCACACAACTTACAAAATCTGTAGATACCCTCATATCGGAGATAAACCCAGATTACTTTGTTTCCTTCCAAGGATATGAAGCACCCTGGGATAAGAGGTATAGATAGATCAATTAGGACTCGGGCCCTAAGTTCTGCATGTATGAGAAGCTCTTCCCCTTCATGCTCCACCTCTTCAATGTATCCTACGTGCCGTAGGATCTGTCTAGCCCAACTCGTTGTTAAGTATGCAAGCGGCAAACCAAAAATTCTTACCCATACCCTAGTCAGGGTGAAGTTCATGTATTGAGGTACAAGGTCAACTTGATACCTCCTCAGATTTATGATCCGTCTGTCTATGATTGTAGTGCTTGCAAGTATGAGGCCCTCTAGATCTTGCTCATCAAAGCACTCAAACAAAAAGTATGGGCCTGATATGTGAACCTTTATCACCCCCTTCCTTATCCAACGCAATGTTACAATGTGTTGAACGTAGTGTTTAGAAGGGGGATGCGGTCCGATGAATAAACTAATCATACACGAGTTAAAATTAATAGAGCCATTTGCCAGATCAAAGTTTCCTGGTGGGGGGATAAGGGGTCCCCCGCGCATATTCCTAGCCTGTTGCTCATCATGAGGGTTTGGAGGCAGACGTGAAAAAGAAATTAGTGATTTATGATAAGGGAAGAATGAAGCAGACTGCCAGACTAGCAGCCTTAGAGAGTAGAAGAGAAGAAGAGGGAAGCAGAAAGGATTGAATTGATTAGAATTGAAGGAGAACCTGAATAAGCTCAGAAAATTTATAACCTAACTTGAGTCCTTGGAATTTGAAACATCACACGCATGGGGAGCAAGAGGCGAGTAAAAACAGGCCCCTAATTGGATAGCCGCCTACAGCTATGTAATGCCTGCACCATTAAACGGTTTGCATTAACTGAGATGAGCTGATTGGTTGGGGAAATGGGACGAACTGCTACTTTCCTATTGGAAAACGAAAAGCTGGGAAAAGGTTAAAGCCTTTTTAGTAGAACGAGGCAGCTAAAGCATTCCCAAGATATTGATCCAATTGGAAAACTAAAAGGCCGAATAGAAGCTTAGCAACTCCAATAAGTTAAAGATATTCCTACCACCTAGAAGGATAAAGTGGATAATCTGCAGATTTGAAGCATGCAATATTTTTTGCAGAAACAGGCAACCCTAGTTTGCCTAAAGAAACTCACCTTTAGTGAGATAAACTCTCGTTTTTAGAGAGAGAAAAACTTATCCATTAACTTTCACTTTTTAGCTGACAAAACAATAGCATGTGAAGAAGAAGACTCATTCCCCTTCTTTCCTTCCATCACAGCAGAAGGTTGAGCATTTTTCGCATTCCCATCTATTATTTCATTTACATTCTCAACAGTAGAAGGTTTCTTTTTCTTAGCGATAGTTTTCTTTTTCAATCCTTTTTTTTGGAATCCAAGCATCTTTATCAAATTCAACATCTTTAACAACCTCTCTTCGTTTTCCTTTATCTCTGTTAGTATCATCATCAATCATTTTGCTTCCACCATCAATATGTTCTTCTGCTTCATCATCGAGATTGATATATGTTATAAAGTTAACAAAACAAATAAGCTAAATAAGAATAAGCATACCAAAAACACGCAAGTATATAATTATATATACACTTATCTTCATTTTTATCTAGCAAACAATTATAATATAGCAAACTAATAACTTAAATAATAATCATTGTCATTGATATAGTGACCTTTTTCAGTTACATAAGGAACTAATGATATAGTAACTTTTATATTGATATAGGGACCAACATTTTATAGTATTAGGAGACTATCACTACAGATAAATACGGAATTACTATCCTACTGCTTGAAGTCTTTGGACTTCCATCTGTAGACAAAGCCTAGCAAAATTAATCTGAAAGTAAATGAAGGCTTTTTAGAGGGTGGTCATCATGGAAGTCACCTTTCTTAATTTAAGAGGGGTCCATCTTTATTTTAACTTACACCAGTGAAATGATTAATTGTAGTTAACTTTTCTCATGTACTTATATCTAACATTGATTTCTTTGCATCCATAACTCTACAATTCCTGGTTACACAATTCTTTTAGCTAGCAAGTTGACATCAAGGATGGTCCTTGTATAAAATATGCAACTGATCAAACAAATTTAGGACTCTTGCACCCAATTCACCTGCAGCCTGAATACATGATAATCCAATGTTAACTAAGGAAAAAATATGGTGACCCTGATTTATAAATTTAAAGCCATACTGATCATACTATAAACAACCTAAAGTGCATAAAAAATCAATATAAAGTTTTATGCAACTTCTGTATCCTCTCACACACCATCGCACAATCAGTCTGGTATGTTCACTAGATATACCAAAAAAACGCAAGCGTATAATTATATATACACTTATCTTCATTTTTATCTAGCAAACAATTATAATATAGAAAACTAATAACTTAAATAATAATCATTGTCATTGATATAGTGACCTTTTTCAGTTACATAGGGAACTAATAATATAGTAAATTTTATATTGATATAGGGACCTACATTTTATAGTATTAATAAACTATCATAACAGAAGCAACTAGCTATATTAACAGGTGTTACTAGTTAGTATTGCTCAATAATTAGCTGCCTCCAATATAGGCCCATTTTAGTCCCTCATGGTTAACTTTTAGTATTGCTCAAAAATTTGCTTTCCAAACATTATATTAACAGGCGTTACTAGTTAGCTCCAGTTCAACCCCTACATATGAATCAAGAATTACACAATTTTCAACACTTTTTTTTTAAATGAAAATTAATACTATCACTAAATAAAAAGTTGACAGACATTAATGTAGTATAATCCAATACATTAAAATCATATAATTCAAAAAATTGAATATTAAGGTATAATAATCCAAAAATCAAACATTCATCATACCTCCTATATCTTGCAAATTAACTCCTGTTGAGCTTCGAGGGCCTCTCCTTTTTTAAAAAGTCGCACCACCTCTAGTTCTCACCATATAATATAATCTAATCCAAATCGAATGAAAATGAACAAAAAGTGAGAAAATATACAACAACGCATACCATGATAAACTTTGTGGAAGTTGTGGACAGAGAACAATAAGATGAAATGGAGCAGCAGAATAACAGAGACAAATAAAAGAATAAGTAATTTAATAATTTACAAGAGAATAACAGAGACAAATAAAAGAATGACCAAAGAATCCACCAGTCTACATTAAAGGCTACAATGCAAATCCTTTCACAATATTTCAACAGATGTGAACAAAGTAAAGTTTCCATAGATATTAGGCAGAAGAATCCACTGCTTGTATAAGCATACATTCTTTCAAATTGTTCATCATTCTCGAAACAATTAGGACAACTAACAGTCGTTCTATTTAACTCCAAAGTATTATTCTCAAGTAACAACTTCTATCCTACTTGAAATTCCTTCACACCTCAACCACATATTACTCTCACTATAACTAATATCGCGCTATCGTCTTCTTCGTAAAAAGTTAATTCCTCACCAGTAAACTCAAACGCAACACTCGAAAAATTCGCTCATTTGTACAACAAAATTCTTCTTCAATGATATAATTAACTGTTCCAAACTCTCACTAATTCACTCACAAATCCACTAAAAACACTTCAAATTACTCAAAATTCGCCTAAAATTTAACGTAATTTCATTTTTCCGATTCTACTTCTCATTTTCACTGAGAAAATCAAATCAAAGTTCCTGCAAAATTCCACAAAATACAATAACATAACAAGAACACATAAATTAAAACATCACGAATCAGAATTAAACATTAAAGAAGCCCTAACATCAGACATTACACGGAAAACCTAATTTTCCAAAAAAAAAAAACCAAAAAAAAAAACATAATCAGATCGAACCTCCAAAAATACCTTAGTCGCTTCTCTTGAAACTCGGATCCACCAAAACTCGACCCGCCTTCTTCCTTCTGCCGCGTTTAGAGAGAGAACGAAGAGAGAGAAACACACACAGTAGAGAGAGAAAACAGAGAAGTTGGTTGAAGAGAAAGAAAGTAGGAAAGAGAAGAGAGAGGAGAGAGAAAATAACGTGTGAAAATTAAAAGGGAGAGAGAAATTAAGAGATGTTTGAAAATAAGGGGAAAACAAATCTCAGCCATAAGATATGATGTACGACCCATATTAAAAGTTTTCAATTTTCAGTTTACCACTTGTTTTTACATGATCCTATTCCAATTGGGAAGTTAGTGTTTCAATCTTGCCTTCCTATGGTAGATTTTCCATCACCGCCTCTTGCCTTCCTCCCAATAAAAATCATCACAAGATTCCAATTGGGAAGTTAGTGTTTCAATCTCAATCTAAAAGGTGAGTTCTTGAATTTAATAAATTATACTACCTCTGTTTTTTATTAGTTGACACGTTTTGACTTTAGCACTATTTACACACTTACCTTCGACCGTGTTTTGTGATTTATATGTAATAAAATATACAGTGATGTGGGATCTTGTTAGAATCGTCACAGTATATATTTTCTAAATATCAAATTTTTATAATTTTTGCTTATCGGAAATTAAATATATTAATGATTGAATTTGTGCACTGGCAAACGTGATTAAAGAATTGTGTCAACTAAAAAGAAACGGAGGAAGTGTCATTGTTTAAATTCAATTTAAGTTTGTTATTCTTGAATTTCAATATTAGTAAAGGGGATTAATCTAGTATTCATATGAATCAAATTACAACTTTACAACCCATTCCTCTCTAACCCACTTTGCATTTGATCACTCAAACTGTGTCAATGCTAAATAGCCCAAATCAACACGGGCCGTGCACAACCTTAACTCTCCATTCTTCACAGAGTTCAGTCTTCACACTACACCAAAACAAATTCACACCACTCCCAACGCACTCTCTCACATACTCAAAAAAGAGAGAAAAAAAAAAAAGAAAAGTCAGAAAAATGTCTTGTCTAGTCTTCTCTGATGTCAGTCAACAACCAAACACATTTTCACCAACATATCTTTTTCAAATATTTTTTTGTACGTCGCTTTCTCCTTCGTATAAAGAGCGCACCACCACCCCGTGCAAAATTTATTTCATTTCCCCCTTTTTTTTAGCTCTCCACTATACTGTACTTCACTGCTTCTTTCAAATTTCAATGGGGCAAATTTTCCTCACTTTTCCCTCTTTTTAGGGTTAGGGTTCTTCGTCAATTTTATTTTTCGGCGATTTTTTGAGGAAAGTAGTAAAAATGGAGTCGGAAGAGTATTACAGGAAGAAGGAGAGAGCTGCTTTGCTTGTTTCTTTGATAATGGCGTCGATTTCTTTGGTTTCTTTGCTCGTTGCTTTTAGTTATTATTGCTACATTCGTAACAAAGTCTCTAAACGCTCCAATCTTCAGCAAAGTATGTTACATTTTTCTGATTTTTTTTTATATATTTATTTACATTTTGGTTTTGTTTATTTGCTCTGTTTATCTGAAATTTGTTCTAATTTTTCGTAAATTTGTTCTAATTTTTCGTAAATTTGTTTCCTTTTTTAGCTTTTTAGGACCTAATTGAGTTTAATATGTATGTGTAAATTCAGCTTTTATTTATTTTTTAGTTTTATTTAATCTGTTTATTTATTTATGATTATTTTTTTTAACTAATGTATATTGTATACGAAGTATAATGTTTACATGTGAAGTGGAAGCAGAAGAATGAATGTTTAAAAAATATGGAGTATTAAGGAAAAAAAAATGATTAGGTGTAATTTTATAAATAATTAGTTATGTAAGAGAAAGTCAATTAGAGGGAGTGGAATTGACGTCTTTGCTGAGTGAACTGTTATGCAAATGAACAACAACTAACTGGTGGTTGTGTTTTGGCCTTTTGGTTGTAAGGAGAGTTTTTGTTGTGGAAATGCTGGGTTGCTCGGGTGTCTGGAAAAGCCGGGTACCTGGAAAAACCAGAGTATCCAGTTGAAAATAAGGTAGTAGGAGGAAGAACATACTGAGGGAAAATGACTGATTTTGGTTTGTTCTGCTTGGTGAAGATTTTCTAGTTCTTGGTCTAAGTTGAAGTGCCAAATTCTAAGTTCTTGTTGGACTGTCGAGGATCCAACACAGGTACTTGAGATAAAATGATGAGTGATTAACATATGCGTAGTGGGCTAGTGTCACATTAATGATTTCTGCCCTCTGTCTTGGTGTTTATGCTTTCATCTAGAATATTGAACATCGGAGTGAATTAGCATGGATTTTTGGAAAAGGAAGGCAAACTAATCTAGTCCCTTATCGATTTTGGATTAATGGATTGTTTAGATAAACAAGACCTTTCTGTTAGCTGCTGGAAGTAGATTTTTGGTGCTAGCATGAAGTATTTAAAGACAATTTAGAAGCTGCATTTGATCCCGATTCTTAATTTTGACTCAAGAGTCTCATCTGTCAATAAAAATACTTAAAGTTACTAAAGTCTCATATATGTGAAAAGATTATGAGCTCTTTCTTATTTTAATTTTATTTGCGCTGGGATATGGAAGTAGGAATTAAAAGCTAAAAACCTCTGTGTTTACGTGTCTCTAATTCGGATGCAGATAAATGTTAAACACTTATTCATCACACACTTATTTTGGTAGAAATTTTCTTTCTTCAGCCTGACATCTTATTCTTTTGCCTAAGTGGGGCATTTCCATATGTCTTTCAATTGTGTATTTGAAGGACTTGACAATGATGACATAAGTGGGCTATCAAATTCGACTCTTGAAGTTGCTTGTGAGAAGGGATTACAAGTGTTTACATTCAAGCAGCTCAATTCCGCGACTAGTGGTTTCAGCAAGTCAAATGTTATAGGGCAAGGTGCATTTGGTTCAGTGTATCGTGGAGTACTTAATGATGGGAGGAAGGTTGCTATTAAATTGATGGACCATGCTGGAAAGCACGGAGAGGAGGAATTCAAAATGGAGGTTTGCTCTCTATGAAGTATAACCAATAATCAACCCTCTTTTCTTTCTAGCTATTACCATTTGATGTTTGATTGGTCACTTTTATATGCAGGTGGAATTGCTGAGCCGACTTCGCTCCCCATATTTGCTTGGTTTGGTTGGTCACTGTTCGGATAGTAATCATAAGTTGCTGGTTTATGAGTTCATGGCAAATGGTGGATTGCAAGAGCACCTGTACCCTGCTAGAGGTATGTATATCAGTATATGGCCTTTTTAATTAGGTTTTTCCTTTCCAACATTCGTTGCATTATGTGGGTAAAGGGATATGGCTCATTGTAAAAAATTTAAAATTCAACTTAAACTTTTCTTTTCTGCTTTGTTCCTTTTTATCTGAACTATGTCATCATTTTCTTTACTCATGTATATCTTATGTAGTTATATCATCTTCTTTAATCTTTCTTGTAGTGCGGATTTATCCTTTGTCTTGATATCTCCAATGACTTCTGAGTCTTCTGTATTGTGATGTAGATTTTGCTCTTTGTTTTACTTTGTTTTGTTTTGTTTTTTTTTTTTTTTTTTTATAATTAATACTTAAGCCAATCTATCAGTCTAATATTTTGTTAGTGATTGGGTCAAAAATGTAGTGCTTGTCACATATTCACCACTGGCCCCAATGTCCCTCCCTATAAGAAACGATACTTCTGATGACATTTTAGAAAGCCCTTACCTTGGGAAACTTTTCTCATCGATAAACTGTCACAGTGAGCTTATCTCTAGAGTGTTTATTAGATCCATGTACTTTTCCTTTAACAGTTGAACCAGAAAATGGTAGTACACGAGTCATATAGAAATCAGTTTATCGACAAGAAAAGTTTCCCAAACTGATTCTTGCTTGCAATGGCCTATTTTTCTTCTGTGATTTGTGAGCATTGTGACCAATAAAGAACTACAATAATATCTATGATGGACATGCGTAAAGTTTTTGGAAATAGTTGGAACAGAGTTGTTTTCACATTCTATAGTCCTTAGACTGGTGAAGTTAATATTGATTGTGTCAATACGGACAAGTTGCAGGGCGTTCTGTTTTCTTCGATAAAGTCTCGATGCTTATAAGTCTGTGTCGTCCATAGCCCGTTTTAGGTCTAGAGGCTTTGTTGTCTACTTGTCTATAACCTGTTTTAGGTCTGAATCTCTTAAATTCAGAACACTGCTATTTTACTGTGCCATTTAGAGACATCACAGTTTTTTATGCTAGAATATACTCTTTGTTCTATATATGGTGTTAACTTATTTATTTATATTGTCCTGTGCTTCCTTGAAGTGAGGTTTGAATGTGGTTATCTTACATGTTCAAAATCTCTGTTTAGGTTCAAATGCTTTTCCTTCCAAGTTGGATTGGGAGACACGGTTGAAAATTGCTTTGGATGCTGCAAAAGGGTTGGAATATCTCCATGAACATGTGAGCCCACCTGTGATTCACAGGGATTTTAAGAGCAGCAATATTCTTCTCGACAAGAACTTCCATGCCAAGGTTTCTGACTTTGGATTAGCTAAGCTTGGGCCTGAGAAAGCAGGTGGACATGTATCCACACGAGTCCTGGGCACCCAGGGTTATGTTGCTCCTGAGTAAGGGCCACACTATCTTTTCTTAGTTAGAATTTTGTCCTGGTCAGAATAAGTTCATCTCTGAATTTGCGAATAATATATTTTTCTGTAATTGTTATATATATATTTTATAATTCTTTATGTAGGTATGCATTAACAGGACATTTGACCACAAAATCAGATGTATACAGCTATGGGGTTGTCCTCCTGGAGCTGCTTACAGGCAGGGTACCAGTTGACTTGAAGAGACCTCAAGGTGAAGGTGTCCTTGTGTCTTGGGTAAGTTTTATACTCTTCTTAGTTTTATCACATATATAGCGGACAACTGGAGGATTCATTGGCAACAAGTAGCATCTTAAATAAAATTTTACCTATCCAAATTTGATATTTGGGTGCATATTGGGAATTCGAGTAGCTTCAAGGGAACAAGTGTGAGGTACAAAGTGTTTTTTTTGTTGTTGCGGCCCTATTGATCCATTTAGTCTTGAAAACTATGAAAAGTGAAAATGTGATCCAAATTACCATATTGGATAGGTCCGTTGTTTTATATTGGTCTCTTATTTATAAACAAGTGCTTGGAAAAATACCTTCTTCTATTTTGATGCATCTGCAATTTCATCACACTGCCTTTATTCGATTTGACTAACTGATTCATCCTCTAATATCTGTGTCTTTTGGAATTGTTATGGACAAAAGGCATTGCCAAAGCTCACTGATAGAGAGAGAGTTGTACAAATCATGGATCCAGCGCTGGAAGGTCAGTATTCGATGAAGGAGGCTATCCAGGTTGCTGCTATCGCAGCAATGTGTGTGCAGCCAGAGGCTGATTACCGACCACTTATGGCCGATGTTGTACAGTCTCTTGTTCCTTTGGTGAAGCTACAAAGATCAACTTCAAAGGTCGGCGGCTGTTCTAGCTTTCATGCACCCAAGTCTCCTACAGCTACTAACAATGTCATTAAATGTAGCGACACTCTATTGACCGAGTCCTAATTATTCAAATGCAATCGTAGGCAGCTTTGTTCACCAACAATTATGGGGTTGAGGATATTTGTATGTAGTATTAACTGAGAGATATCCCAACCAGTGGTACTAATTAGAAGGCATGTATCTATTAATCTAATACACACTTTGACTTGTAAGTTGTAACTCGTTCTTGTATCTTTGTCAGGATAAGGAATTCAAATCTAGGTCTTATTATGATATTATGGGATAATGACATTGATCTATATCCTGGCTAAGCTACGTACTAATTGGTAACTTCCTTTAGCTACATGCCCAAAATCCTTTTCGTTAAGCTACCTTTAGCTACATCCTTTCCTTTAAGTATGAAATCTATCTGTCAAGATTTGACCAAAAAGGAAAAAAAAAAAAAAAGCTGACAAAATTATGGTTTCAGGTAAAATAAATAAATTAATTAAGTGGGAATGCATGTAATATTTTTGTCTGCAAATACTATTTATTCAAAAAAAAATCTGGGCCGAAGCTCTGGTGTCCACCTTAAAAGAGTAACATATTAACATCCCTCTTCCTTTAAAATTAGAATAAAGATAATTTAAAAAACTAAAGCCAACCAATCAGCAAAGAAAAAAAATAAAATAAAAGAAGACTTAATAAATTATTAATCAATCAACAAAACATAAAAATTAATTACTTAAATTAAGTCCAAAAATAAATATTCTTACAAAAAAAAGTCCAAAAATATATAAATAATCTATACAACTAAAATCATCTTCCATAAACTATAAACTTACATTCAGATTATATTTTACTAACTTTGATATTACTTCATATTTTATTCTCCGCATTAGTGTTGAGGTTCATATTTCGATAATGAAATATTTTCAAACACGTTTATACCATATAAATATATATATATATATATATATATATATATATATATATATATATATATATTATTTAGTCGAGGTACCTATTTAGGGTAAAAAATTCCCCAACACGTGATCCAATCTCACAGTGACACGTAGCCTAATTAACGGACGACACATGTCCCTGTAGGAAGATGACACGTGTGAAACATAAAGAGCAACTGAAATGAGAGAAAAGGACCTCCTTGCATCAGGAGGCCCAAATCCCGAGAAAGCCGCAAAACGGCGCCCCCTTTGGACACATGCCTTCCCCTGATTGCGCCGCCAATCAGAGCACACTATTCTAGGTCATTAAACTTAGAGGAGCACGCCTTCCCACCCCTATAAATACCCCAATTATTTATGATGGGAGGAGTGGATTAAGACATATCATTCTAAGAGCTCTAAAAGCTCTAACTTCTCTCTACTTTCTCTCTCTACATTTATTCCGTTTCCGATCACTAACTTGATCGTTGGAGGCGAATATTCCGTAAAACAGAATATTCGTTATTTTGCAGGTGTCCGCGTCCATCCGGCCGAGTTCAAGACCAGTATCCCGAGGGATTCCAAAAAACCACGAAACATTTGGCGCCGTATGTGGGGATACTCGTCTGAAATGGTTAAAGATGGTCAGACACCCGGTCCTGATGAGGACAGACATGTAGAGAATCTTATTGCTACAATCAACACAAGCTATCCTCTGACTACTTCTTTCCATGAGGCCGAGGATCCTCTGGTGACTTCTGGTTCCTTGAAGGCCGCTTTGAGCAAGCTCCGAAGGGAGCTTGAAAGTAAGATCCTTTCTTCTTCTAGACAGCCGTCCAGGAGAGAAGGAGAAGGCATTCAAAAGAAAATTCAAAGCAAGGCGGCCAATGTAGAGGATGCTTGGAATACCCCATTCCGACGACATGCAAGGTCACCAAGGGTGCCTCGGACAAACTTGTCCAGGCTCCTTGAGAAAACGTAGGCAGTTGGGGGGCAGATCGGGCAGCCTCTGAGGCACCCACCCGAGCCGTCTCAATGCTGGAAGGATGCGAGGGATTATCTCCGGTACAAACGCCAGGAGCGGGCACACTACTCGGACACTGCCTCCACTTCTACCATGCCGGATGATTTCTCAAACCACACCCTCTCCAAGCATACCAGCTCGGCCAGGACCACCAGAAGTCAAGCTCACCATACTCCAACTCCAGTTCCTCTAACTCAACCACTCCAATACTAGATGCCCCAGAACTATGGCACAATTTTGCCGCTTGCTCCCCCTGTCTTTGGACAGTACGGGTAGTATGGCCAGCCGTACGACCAGGCAGCATACTTGGCCGGTCCGGCCACACAACCTCAGCCCATTGATTGGCAAATGCCGCTTGTTAAATCTTGGTGACAAGCCGCCTCCGTTTTCTCAAGAAATTTTCAACTCTCCCCAACGAGCAAAAGTAAAGAGCGTACTTGTGGGTGCCTATCATGGTACGGGCAACCCAGAAGAGCACGTCACCTCGTACAGAAACCTGATGTACCTATAAAGTGTGGATGATGCCACTTGGTACAAATGCTTTCCGGCAACCCTCAAGGTGCAAGACTGGTTCAACAGTCTGCCAGGCGGATGCATCAACTGTATTACAACTCTCAGTCTGTTATTTGTTGGAAACTTCTCCTATAATATTCCACCTCGAAAGACTAGTCTTAACTTAGTGACCATTGCCCAAAGAAAGAATTAGGGGTTGCGCTCGTACGTCCAGAGGTTCAATCAGGAGAAAGCTCAAATTCAGAATCTGCCGGATGAAATGGCCTACTCGGTGTTCCTTCGTGGTTTAAGGCATAATGGTTTCAATTTTGACTTGTTTAGGAAAAAGATTCGGACATACGCAAGTGTTTTGCGTGAGGTTGAATCATATATAGAGGCAACTGATTTTTGTTCTCTTACGAAATTAGAAGAGCCAGCTAAGGGGGCCGAGAAGAAACAACCTTCTTAGCAAGACTCGGTCGGCTAAAAGAAGGAAGGAAGCATCAAAAGAAAAGAAGCCTAAGTGGCCGACTGCCAACAGACGAAATAAAAAAAAAACAAGAAGTACGAGCCCCAGTATGAGTACAACAAGGATTGCTATTCAATCTTGATGGAGATCAAAGACAAGTTCGAGTTCGAGAAGCATCAGCCTTTGAGAGGGCCGACATAATACAGAAATAAGTACAAGTACTGTCACTACCACAAAGATGTGGGGCATGACACGAACAACTGCAACAATCTGAAGAGATTGCTTGATAAGCTTGCCGAGAAGGACATGCTCAACCCATATGTTCTGAAGTCCAAGTTCACCTACTCTCAGACGGACAACCAATCTTAGAAGAAGAAAAACAAAGAAACAGATGATGGAAACATCACTGATTCAGGGTTCGTAGCCATTATATCAAGAGGCTTTGCTGTAGGCAGCCCGACCATGAAAGGAATTAAGCAAGATGCTTGGAATTTTGAGAATGTGATGCACACTAAAGGGGTGAAGGCGGAACCCTTTCCAAAGGTGACAGTCAGCGAGGCAGACAGAGGTCCGATCAAAGTCCCTAACAATGACCCCATGGTGTTCATCTAGAAGGTTGCCAATTTTAAAGTGGGGCGAGTGTTGATAGATACAGGCAGCTCGTCCGATATAATCAGTTTAGCTTGTTTAAAGAATTTGAATTTTCCAAAGGATGTCCTCAAGGATATTTCCCACCCATTAGTCGGGGTTGGTGGGAGCATTATTCACCCGGATGGACGGATAGACTTGCCCGTCTAATTTGGTCAAAAGGGAGAGGGAAGGGATATGGTCGTCCGCTTCCTAGTCGTTAGAAAACTTACAGGCTACAATGTTATCCTCGGCCGCCCAACTTTGACATCAGCAAAGGCAGTAATCGTCCCACATTTAATGCTGATGAAGTTTGAGCGGTCGGATGGGAAGATAGGCTCCATTCAAGGAAATCAGAAGATGGAAAAAGAATGCAATCAGCTAGCCGTGAAGCCAACAGCTCGTGGACGAGGAAAAACGTTCGAGCAAAACTTAGAAGAAGGGTCACTCCAAGCATACCAGGTCAGCCAGATGCGTAAGTCGATCAACAAAGAGCAAGCATAGCAGCTAATGACCGTCGGCCGGCCAGAAGAGTTTAGGCCACAGCCGGCCAGCGATCATACGGACATAGTGCTTGACCTAGACCAGCCCGGTCGGACGTTCAAAGTGGGCACTATGGCCATGGGCTTGATTGGAGATGACTTCGTGAATTTGCTTAAAGAATTCAGAGATGTGTTTACTTTTGAAGTTCATGAGATGCCGGGTATCAGTCCAGACTTGGCCATTCACAAGCTGGCTGTGAATCTGGCTATGAAGCCTATTCAGCAGAAAAAGAGAAACCATGGTGAAGAAAGGAATCAGGCAGCCGCAGCTGAAGTCAAAAAGTTGCTGGACGCCGGTTTCATTCGAGAATGTCACTATCCTGATTGGGTAGCAAATATAGTTCTTGTGAAGAAGTCGAATGGAACTTGGAGAATGTGCGTAGACTACACCGACCTCAACAAGGCATGCCCTAAGGATAGCTTTCCCTTGCCTAAAATTGACCGTCCGGTTGATTCAACGGCCGGCATGCCCTGATGAGCTTTATGGACGCATACTCTGGATTCCACTAGATTCCTTTGTGGGAAGAAGATCAAGAGAAAACAACGTTTGTGACCGAGAAGGGGCTATATTGCTACAAGGTTATGTCATTTGGCCTGAAGAATGCCCCTGCCACATTTAAGAGACTTGTGAATACGGTCTTCAGAGATCAGATCGGCCGGAACATGGAAGCTTATATTGATAATATGATTGTTAAATCAAAGAGGTCGGCCGACCATCTGAAGGACCTCCGAGACACATTTACCAAACTCAGGCGCATAAGATGATGTTAAATCCAAAGACTTGTGTCTTTGGTGTTGAGTTCGACAAATTTCTCGGATTTTTAATTGATCAGCGCGGCATTGAGGCTAATCCTGAGAAGATCCAGGCGATCTTAAACATGAAATTTCCCAAAACCATAAAATAATTTCAAAGGCTGACTGACTGTTTAGCTGCACTCGACGATTTCTGTCAAGATAAGGGGATAAGTGCCGTTATTTTTTCCAGATTATCAAGAAGAAAGCCGTGTTCGAGTGGACAGAGGAGGCCGAGGAAGCCTTCGTACAGTTGAAAAATCATTTGCATACCCTCCCTCGGCTCGTTAGTCCACTTAAAGATGAGAAGCTATACATGTATCTCGCAATTTCAGATCATTCCTTAAGTGTCGTCCTGCTTGCCGAAAAGGACGACCATCAGATCCCTATGTATTTCATTAGCCACGTTTTGCACAATGTCTAACTTAGGTATCCACCCATTGAAAAGTTCGGCTTGGCATTGTTCATGGAATCAAAGAAGCTAAGGCCATATTTTCTTGCTCACTCGATAGTGGTCAACACTGACCAACAGTTGAAGAAGCCGTTCACAACATTGGAGGCTAGTGGTCGAATGCTTAAATGTGGCTTAGAATTAAGAGAGGGAAGGAGGTGATCACATTCGAACTCAGTAAAGTAATCAAGGGCTAAGCCTTTGCAGATTTCTTGGCCGAAATGACACGGCCGGACTTACAGCCGGCAGAGGATCAGATCTGGAAAGTTTTTGTGGATAGAAGTGCAACAACGACCGGATGTGGCGCTGGTATCATATGTCAATCTACGGAAGGAGACAAATTTGAATATGCGTTAAGATTTCAGTTTCAATCCTCTAATAACGAGGTCGAGTATGAAGCCCTTATGGCCGGCCTTAGAATGTGTAAGGTGGCAAGGGCAACAAAAATTGATGCTAACTCGGACTCTAGCTGATAGTCAGCCAAGTGAATGGTGACAATGAGGCCAGGGAGCCGACCATGATAAAGTATCTACAGATGGTGAAGGATGAGGCCGAGAGCCTAGAGCACTTCACGCTGCAACAAGTTCCCCGGTCCGAGAATCATTAGGCAAACGCCCTCTCCAAGCTAGCTTCCTCGACATCATGTGATACTACAAGATCTGTATTATGGGAAGTCAAGGAAAAGAGGAGTATCGATGCCGAGCCTCTGAAAATCATTGACATAAGCTCCACATGGATGGACGGAAGATGGAGTTCTTCCGGACGACCCAAAAGAGAGCTGGCTGATGAGCTAAAAGGCGGCATGGTTTGAGATGAAGGAGGAGGACTTATTCAAAAAAGTCTTTGTGAAGCCCTACTTGAAATTTATTACTCTCGAGAGAGGGCAGGAGGTGCTAGACGACCTCCACCTAGGGCATTGCAGATCACACGTAGGCGGACGAGCCTTAGCTGAAAAAGTTACCCATCTGGGGTATTACTGGCCGAGTATGAATTCAAACGCCATGGAAATGGTAAAAAAATGTGACAAGTGCTAGAGATTTGCAACCCTCATTCACCGCCCGACAAACAGCTTGTTGGCCATAAGTAGTCCACTTCCCTTTGCAATATGGGGAATGGACATCTTAGGGTCGTATACTCTAGCATTCGGACAGAGGCGATATGTGTTAGTAACTGTTGACTACTTCACAAAGTAGGTCGAAGCTGAGGCCGTCTGAGGGATCAAATGCAGAGATGTATCTGCCTTCATCTGGAAGAACATTATCACACGCTTTGGTGTGCCGCAATCAATGGTGTTCGACAATGGATCGCAATTTGAGACCGGCCAACTCAAGGATTGGCTAAGTGACCAGGGCATAACGTATTGTTTTGCCTCGGTCGGACACCCAAAGGCAAATGGCCTAGTTGAAGCATACAATAAGTTGATCTCCAATGGCATTAAGCGAAAGCTTGAGAAAGTAGGCAGCCTATGGGCTGATGAGTTGGTCAATGTGCTATGGTCCATTCGTATGACAACAAAAAGTTCAACAGAGGAGACCCCATTTTTTCTGGTCTATGGCGCTGAGGCTGTGCTCCTAATTGAGATGTACGAGCCCACTCTACGAGTGATGCTATATGATGAATCGGCCAATTGGTAGGCCGTGAAGACCGCCCTAGACTTCCTTCTAGAAGCTAGGGGCAATGCGGTGCTTAGACACGAAATTTATCGTCTAAGGATGACGAGGGCATATAATCGTCAAGTGTCTAAGCGGCCACTTAAGATTAGAGACTTGGTCTTCAGGAAGATGAAAGCGGTAGGCCGAGCTAATGAAGATGGCAAGCTAACCCCAAACTGGGAAGGGCCTTACCAAATCAGAGAAGAAGTCCGAGATGGTACGTACCATCTTGAAGCCTTGGATGGCCGTCCTATTCCCCGTATATGGAATACGGACAATCTGAAAAAATATTATGTATAAATTTTTTGTACTTAGCCTAAAGTTGTATATAAACCTAGGTCTAAATGGCGAGCAATGTAATTAAAGCCATTCGGCCACAAACAATATAATTTTGACAATATTAATGAAAAAGTCAAACATTGCTATTTATTTTATATGTTTACTGGTTGATAAGCAGAAATGCCGATTGAAAACAATTACAAGGGTGGCTTGCAAGATAGCAGCTCAGCCTCTGAGTAGGGCAGAGCTGAACAAGTAATGCTGCCCAAAAAGAGAAAAGAAGTTGCTTGTAACACAACAGCTCGACGACTACAAGGGCATCATAAAGCGGTCGAGTAGAATGTCTAGCAAGGGCATCCCCTAGTTAGACAACTCGACCATAATAGCTAAAATAGTTGATCACTCTATCCGGCCCTACATCGGTCGGACCGATGAAATATGAGGTAGCCGCAAAATTGCCTAACGTATCTTTACCCAAAAGGGCAAGGACATACCTAGGCGTTCGAGCCCAATAAACACTTAGAAATAATCAAGTTGGAAAACACTTGAAATTTCATGAGTGCGTCCGAGAGATAGCATCAAAGGACGACTCAGCACAAGCCAATAAAGCGGCCGACTAACTAAGATTGATTCAGCATTCACCTAGTCCAAGGGCAATCATTATCATGATTTGATTAACTTACTAGTCGTCATACCCTTTGAGGTATAAAATCTACTAAGTTAATAAAACCTCTTAGAATATGGACTAGGCAAATGCAAAATAAAGGGGCACCCTCAGCAAAAAGCAAAGCATTCGTACGAATAAGCATAAGACATGAAAAATTGCTTGAACAATGCTAAGTATGAATGAAAGTCGAAAGAAACTTCATAAATTAAAGCCGCTCAAAACAGGCGGCAAAACAAAAAAGAGTATATAACAAAACTGCTTAAATAGGCGGCAAAAATCGAAATTGTCCAAAAGAAACAAAAACAAACATAAAGCTTCAACAGCTGCAGAAGAAGAGGAGAGCTCCTCACTTGGCCATCTCCTCGCCACCATCACTAGCGGCCGACTCGCCAGTGGCCGCCTCATCCACCTTAGCCGGCTCCTCATCCTTGGCCGGCTCTTCTTCTTCCTCTTCCTCCTTCTCATCTTCTTCATCATTACTTTGGACAGGGGAGGAGGTAGCGACGAACGGAGGAACAGGCTTCCCGATGGCTCGGTATTCCTCCTTAATGGTGACGTAGTCCAGCTGGCTGGTGAAGCGCTCCAGGTAGTAGCCGATCTCACTAACGTCTACTATCATAGAGAAGGCCTCCTCAAAGAGATTCTTGAGGTGGGTGATGGCTAACTGCTTTATTCGGACCATCTCCCGCGTGGAGATCTTCTTGGGAGCCTTGAGCTGCTCTTTCAGCTCCTCAACTTCCTTCTTGAGGCGCTCGACCTCCTGGTTATGCTCCTCCCCGGCCTTCAGCCCTGTCTCTAGGGCCCCCTTGCTGGTCTCCAGGTCGGCCTTGAGCCTCTCAGAAGCCTCATCCGCCTCCTTCCATTCGGTCGCATGGGAGACTGCCTCATCTCTCTCCTTTGCGAGAGCCTCGTTAGCCAGTCGTTCCCTCTTGAGGGCATTGCCCAATTTGACGATGCCTCAGTCTGTTTGGCTGACTTCTCGGTCACGACATTGAGGGCAGTCTCATGCCGAATCTTCTCGAGGGCCAGCAGCCCGATGTTTTCATCTTGGATCCTCCGGATGTCCTCCAAGGACGACTGGATCTTGCGCCTCTCCCACGGACGCCAGTATTAGAAGGCAAGGAGCCTAAGGAGGAGCTGTGGACGAATTGAAGTAAGTCAGTAAAAGAAAAGGCCAGAAAATAAGCTAAGTGTCAGAGTTTAAAATAAGCTAAGATACCTCAACACAGCTGTTGATCATTGGTCCAAGGTATCCATCATGAATACCCCGAAATTTATCTTGCATTTTAGCCGGGACGACCCTCAGCATGGCCTCCCAGACAACCTTTCGTTTGGCTCCCGTTAGCGAAGAGCCAGGAAACCGAACGTCCATTTCCTCGACAATATCTATGAAAAGCATATGTTAGAAAAAATTGAAATAAAAATAGCCAAAGTCAACAGAAATGGCAGGACGAGTAATATCAGAGAAAGATGGAGGTGCTTGTGGACGCCTTTTCGGAGTAGGAGTAGGAGTTGGCATAGGTTGCTACTCGGCCATCCGAGGAGGAGATGGCAACTCTTCATCTATGTGGAAGCCTGTCAGCTTGGCCCCCAGGTACTCGACATGCGGAGTCGATTCATTGCCCGGCCGTTTGGTTAAGGGACGACTTTCCCTCTTCGTCCTTGCGGACGGTCTCTTCTCGAGCCAATTCTATTACTTATGGCTCTGAGGGCTTGGAGGCCCCACTAGGTTTCAGCTGGGGTTCTTCTCCTTTAAATTGCTCTTTGGCAACCCGCGACCTTGCCCAGTCGCATGCGCCCCTGAAGGGGTCTTGGACGCAGATACTTTGCGAGCTTTGGACGACCGCTCATCCTTTGAAGAGGACGCCAACCGCTTCCTTGCTGGCTTTGGGGTAACTGACTGAAAAATAAGAACAAGGAAAAATAGTTAGATGTGCTGACCAAGTAAAATTGGAAAGTATAACTTTCCTAACATACTTGCTCGGCAAAAATATCAGCCTATTTACCCTGTCCGAGTAAAAGTGGGAAGTATGACCTTTCCAACATATCAACTCGGCCAAGACGAAAAAGGCCAATGCGTCCGAGTAGAAATGAGAAGGATGTCCTCCATTGCATAGCAGCTCGAACACAAAAAAAAATGAGGAAGATAAGAACTGAAAAGAGTTCGTACCCCCTTGGCCGCCTCGTAGCTCTGCATCAGGAGCCTATAACGCTCCAGGTTGAAGTCGTTCATGTCGACATCTCCCTTCTGCTCTGGATCAAGTTGAGACATGGCTCGTTCTGTCAACAAAAAGAACAAAGAGTTAGATGATATTATCATTTGAAATTCATTCAGACGGTCATGGCACAAAAGTCTACCTAGGGCACATTTCCAGAGTAGGCCGAACGATGACATGAAGAGTGGATCCCTAAGCCAGTCGGTTAGGGGAATCCACTTGGGAATAATAGGAACTTGCTTCCCACCTTGGTATACCTTCTTGAATTTAAAATAGTCAAGTTGGTTGGCATGGTCCGGACGGACATGAGGCTTGTACGGCCGGTGATCTCCCCATCCGAGCTGAACAGGCTCAACATTGAACCTGTTCATTTTGTGGTTGAAGCTCCTATCCTTGGTCTTTAGGCGGTAGAACCGATGCTTCTAGTCATGCCACTTAGACGGCTTGTGGAGAACAACCAGGTAGTCCGGACAGGTGTTCAGAACAATCCAGCCGTACGAACCTCCCTTCAGCCGCACCATGTTGTGCATCGCGCAGAAGACCGAGAAGTTGGGGGTGAAGCCCTTCCTAAGGAAAGTCACCAAGTACCTAAAGATGTTAGCCCAGCTGTTCGGCGCCAGCTGGAATAAGGCAATTTGATATTGGTCCAGCAGCTCCTGGACGAATGGATGAAGGGGAAACCGGAGGCTGACCTCTAAGGCGGTCCTATGAACATGAAGCCCCGTCGTTGGGCTCCAGGATCTTCAGAAGTGATCACCGAATTAGAATGTCTAAGTGGCCGGATCTGGAACTCTTCCACAAGCCCAAGGAACCTCTGAAAGTCCTCAAATTTATCATTGAGGAAAGCAAGGGCCATATCACCAATGGGGCAGACGTACGTGTCATCGTAATCAATTGCAAAGCCGCCCTCGTCGGCTCCTTTGGCGTCAGGGTTTTCAGTTCCCTACTCGGCCGTATGTGGTTTGGAAATCCTAGCCGAACCAAAGTCAGAGGACAACACTCTGTCCAATTCAGCCGCCTCGGTCGAACTTCCACCAATCGAGCCTTGCCCTGGCTCGATAACCACTAAACCTTCTGGTACCATAGGGCCTTTTCCCTTATCCTTCTTTCCTCCAGCGTCCGCCTGATTTCTAGATAGAGCGCTACCGGGCAGGGGGGAAGGGAGGTCAACCGACTTAGCAATATGAATGTCATTCCTAGGCCTAGCCGACCTGGTATGTTGAGGAGGGGGTTGTGGCAGATTTTGGACAGGTGCCACAGCGTCCGCCCGAGATGAAGAAGGATGCCTTCAGAAGAAAGCAGCTCGGACGGCATCAAAATCGAGCTGGTATATTGGGCTGGGGGTTGTTCCGGATTTGGTCCGGATGCCAAACTAGAAGAAGTGCCTTGCTGATTTTGGCCCTCTTTAAAAGAGGCGGTCACTTTGATTACGGAGCATGCACTACCACTAGCCATGGTTGTATTTGTGTCCTCCCCGTCCGTGTTACTCGAATCGTAGGGGACTAAAGGGTCCACCAGGCTTCCGTCCGGATTCTTTGGGGCATCATTTTCGTACGTTTGTCTCGTACGCGCCTGTTCGTCTGCAAAGACAGAGAAGAATAGGTGGGGGTGAGTTGGTACGCACTAGAATTGGACCCACTCCATAGAGAAGATGACTCGTCCTCGTCCACTCTAGATTCCTCAGTCCCAGGCGAACGGTCGGCCTTATGAGGAGAAATGGAGGAAGCCGAGTTTTGTGCCAGTTTGTGTTTAAAAAATAAAACAAGTAAGGAAAATAAAAGAAAAAGTTTAAGAAAGAGGAAGCAGGCGGTTACCTCTGT